TGATTCTGTGATCATGGATTATACAGCTACTGCAGAGCCACCTGCGTAAGAAAACACCTACTTGTTTGCCTCTCTCACTCTCTGTACACAGAATACATATGTGGTATCTGTCACACCCCTGTACATTAACAGAATGTTAGAATTGAATCTGTGTTCAAACTGGTGAAATTTTCTATAGAGCAGTGTATAAAACAGTCTCTTCCAAATTATTCATCTGAAAATATATTCGAAATCCTTCCTTCAGGATGGTGTTATCAGATGTGAGAACAACCACAGAAGCCAGGTTGCAAAATAATTCTTCAAAACTCCTGCAAGGTGTCAATTGACTAAAGCCATTCGCTCAGTTCTGCAGTAGAAGTCAACAGAAAATCGACCTTACCACTGTTTATGTTTCAACCATTTCAGTTTCAAAATATATACTTTTTTTTCTAATGCTTTACTGACCATTACAGAAGAGCTTACAGTTACTCAGGAGCTTGAATTAAGTGTGATGTATTAACACTACAATATTGTCTCCTGCTGGTCACTGGCAGTAACAGTCAATTTTTTGGCATGTCAGCTAACACTAAATCCCACTCTATTCCTCTGTGTTTCAGGAATAGACTTGAAGTGTGTTTTCTTGAACTCACAGTGAAAATGCAACATTCCCCAAAGAAAACCTTTTTCATTTCTACATGGTATGCACTTATGATATAGCAGCGGAAAGGAGACAAGCTTTACTGTTACTGTTCTCTCATTAATTTGGCCATTCTCTTTTGCTTTCATCTTGAAATGGAGGACAGGAAATAAATAAGGTTTATTGTGACCCACTCTTCTTCAAATATAGTGTTTGGTGGCTCTGACAATTGCCTCCTTGTTTGCTGCCATCTACCAGCAGACACTTATGCATATCCAAACTCGTGTGGTCTCGAGCTAAGATCTCTTGATTTGTGCTTTTGACTCAAACCATCCCCAGAAATGAAGCTTTATATACTCTATCAGGTGTGCTGAATGTTCGGTGTATGCATGCACTACAACTTAATATATTTTCCATATAATGAATAGTAAATGTCCATATAATTACCTACTCGGTTTAAAATTACTCTCAATTCATCGTAAAATAAAAACATTTATTTTCAACTTCCAGAATAAATGAAGTTTGCAAATTATAAACATCAGGGACTCTTACTTGTGTCACAGTTCTGAAAAATAACTGCTTCAGGTTGATAAAAGGTTGAGGGTATTTATCCCTATGGTGTTCTAGAGTTGAACAGTGATTAAAAAAACCTGAATTCTGCTATCTTTGATAGTTTTCATAGCTTAGGCCAAACTGAAAAATTAAAATAAGAGAACATGGTTCTCCCAGTTGTGTTTTTGGCATTGCCTTTGTTCTCTGTTCCTTTCATTTAGCAGGACTGGCATTGTTCATTACTGTGAGATCTATGCCTTGGACTCAGAATTATTGGCCATATTTTATCTGTGAGTGAATGCTGAAATCATCCAGTTATCTCTGAGAAAGTGTTAAGTGTAGGGGTAGAATAAAAGGACCAAAGGGCCAAATTCTGCCCAGACTAACACCTGTTTGCCTCAGGGATTTAAATTAAGACAGAATTTCTTTCCTAAGCTAAATTAATCTCTCTTCTGTGCAAGAAGCTTTCACTTAAGCAGTTTTGAGTGTTGCAGATCTAGCAAAACAAAATATGGCTTTTTGAGAAGAAGCGCCAAGTTTTATTTCATTTGAAACCCCACTGACTTCATTTGCACTACACATGAGAGAAGGAAGGAATTTAAACTCAGCAGCTTATTGGCGGATGCACTGTGACTTGGAATATGTACACGCTGTCAATAGGTTTTTCTGAAGGAAGATTTTTTCAGCCCTTCATCAGAAAGTAATTGAATGGGTTACAGCTCAGCTTTAAAATCTTCCCTGCTGCTACAAAGAATAAAAGCAAATAAGGAAACTGTATCTAGACTGAAAGCCATGGTAAACTGATTTTTATTTGGAAAAACAGAAAGGATTAATTTACTTCACTAGTATAGAGAGTTCTCTGAATTGAAATATATGAATGGGTTATCAATTTTCAGACTTCCTTTTGAACTGAACTACGTAAAGGGAGCAATTGCAAATACTGCAATGAAATGCCAAACTTCTGAGGTTTTAGAAGAACTGATTGGCTATCAGTCTGCTCTCTGATCACTTAACATTGGCTCCAAACACTCTGCGGGACAGCTGGATTCACATTATACCATCAAATGCTGCTCTTGTGCTAACAGCTGTCAAAAGAAACCATACTGAAAATAACTACTGATCTCCTTTCTAAAGGGTAACTGAAAAGTCAGATACTTCTGTAACACAGACACATAAATAAAGGGCTGGTAACCAACACGTGCATTTGCTGCTAGGTGCACTTTTGTGGGCTTGGTTAGAGAGGTTTTAACCAGATTTGGACAGCTGTTGGAAGTCTATGTGGGAAGATGACTTCATATGGGCTGTAAATTAAATTAGGGGTAGGGTTGTGAAGATATGCCCATCTCCTGGTGGAACAGACAATAGGGTAAAATGTGTGTGGGAGAGACAGAGAATTTTGTTCACATATTAAGTCTTACTCTCTGTCATCCTTCTATTAAAGTAGCTATGAGCAGACAGTGTTAGTTTGTGACTGACATCCTGAAGCTGCCTTGGATAAGCATAGTAGTTCAGTAAGTCCTACGTGGACCTGGGACTTAATCTAAGGTAGAGGTGCCATAAAGCAACGTGGTACAGTAGTGGTATGGTCAGTCCTGTCTCACAGTGAGTTGGCAGCTCTTCTGATCTTGAGCTCTGGTCTGCTGCGTGTCCCACATCAGGTGATAATTTGCCCCAGAAATCAGCCCAAATCAGCCCTAATGAAAAGGAGGGAGTGGAGGCAACCTTTACAGTCTTGTCTGCGATGTGATTTCTCAAAGGAAGGGTAAACCACAAGCTAAACAATACTTTCACTTTTTCAGACTATAAACTTTGCCTGATGACTTAGTCATGAATTGAGAGGTCAGCCAGGTTGCTGCGCAGCACAGCAATGTCAGGTAAATAGTCAAGCCCTCCCAGAAAAGAAGCAACATTGCTATTGCTTGTGGTAACATGACCATATCAACCCATCCTTTTCATTGTTTGAAATTCTTAAATTAATTTGTAGATTTTGTACTGAAAGAAAATGAAACCTTGAGAGCAAATGGGAGAGGAGTTGCTTTGCTGTAGTTTTTCCTATGCATATCAGTTCTGAGAAAAAAAAAAAAAAGAAAGAAAAAGAAAATAAAAAAAAAAGAAAAAAAGCCTCCTAGTCAAACAACATTGCTAAAATTATTTTCTATTTTGAGCTTGTGTTTAAGCTAATCCTTTTGTTCCATTCAGAGCTCATCCGGTGATGCAGTGCTCCCGTTTTTAGCTCTCAGAATTGTTGCCCATAGCTAATCTGTGCTCATATCTGAGCCTCCAGAGTTTATATCCCTTACTGTGGACACTTCTGATTTCAACCAGCTCAACTGCACCCTGTGAAAGTCTGAATGAATGGCATGAACAGGGCCCTGATGGCAAAATGTCTTGTAGGACATGCAGCCAGCAGAGAGGCGTAAAGCATTCACAAAGAATACATGGGTTCATCTCTGTTCCCGTTTATACTGTAGCTCCCCAGTGGTTTAGGCCTCTGTGGTAGAACAAACTCTCAGATCCCTTTAAATCTTCTTTATACTTTTTTTAAACAATATTTTGCACATTTAATGGTGGGCAACTGTAATCTTCTCCAAATTACTCTGATCTGGTCTTGACTGGTATGTCTAAAACACAAAAAGGTGTTTAATTAAAAAAAAAAAAAAAAAAAAAAAAAAAGGCTGTATTCTTCTCTCATTCTTCTCTCATCTCTACACTACCTACTCTATCTATTATGTAAGGTTAGTGCTTCAAATTGCCCTCTATGTGATACTTTAATTTCTCATCCACATAATACCACTGTGCCAGCCTGTGGGGCCTTAGGTCCTGGCTCTATCCTGCAGCATTTCACCACTCATCCCTCTTACTACTCTGTTATCTAAAAGTTAAATTTGAACAACCCCTGGGTTATGATTCCTTTCCTGTTCTCTCCAGGTGTTGACTCACTTCCTATCCAGCCCATGGGGCAGCTCACAGCAACACAATCTCAGCTTTAAGGAATGAGCACAATAACCCCATATTTCTAAGAGGCAGAACGTCTGTGTTCTGGAATCAGTGAAAGGCTCAACAGTGATGAAAACAGTATTTCCTTCCCCTTATGCTGTGTGAGGGTAATACTAAAGGAATCTGTAGAAGTAAATGCTGCACCAGCCAACAATTACCTCACATATTGTGAATTCTTGTAGTTTTTTGGTTTTTTTCTTTTTTTAATTTCCTGGTTAATTTTGAAGTAATCTGGGGCTTTTTCCAAAGTGCAGAAGCCTGTCCCTTAATTAGTCCCCTTTAGTCTTAGAGACTTCCATGTTTCTTCAATTTCCAAATTTTCTGAATATGTCATCACAGTGCTTTTGTAGCACTACGAGGCATTCGATCTCTGCCAGCCCCTGCTAGAGACTTAGTGCTTACCCAGGGTCTGCCACAAGTAGGACAATATGTGCCATTTTAGCAATACTGCTGGCTTCAAAACCCCTCATGTCAGAGACAGCTGCAACTCAGATCACTGAAAACATAGTCTTTGTCCATGCAAAATCTGTTCTGAGTTGGGACAGGCAGTGGGAGCAGTGTTAGCTATTCCCTTTGGGTGCTCTTTTGTTAGGAAAGGGCATGCTGGTGTTCTTATTCTGTGGATCTTCTATACTATCTCAAAATTCCCTAAATGTATGGGAAGTGCTGAACCTCTGACTGACCACCTGAGGTGAGCAATAAGTCAGCCATGAGAGCACAGGTGAAGGCAATTCACCTGTGCTACCAGAAGGGGTGGAGCCTGGCTCCACTTCTCCTGGACACCATTTAAGAGCTGACTACCAGTGGGGAAGGATCTCTTTTGGAGATTGCTCCTCTTGGAGTCTTCTCAGTGAGCCTAGGACAAGGGTAAGCTTTCCATCCATTCTTCTTTAGTGTGATGACCTGTTTAGCCTAAACTTGTTTAGCCTAACTTTCTTGTATATTTCTTAATTATGATATCCACATATTCATTGATTCAACACTGAATCAGTTGAAATCCTTCCCAGATGGGCTTCCAAAGAGGTTTTCTGTGAAAGCTTATCTTTGTCATTACATCTTTTGCTAGTTAAGACTCACCTCAGTAGTTTCCCTCACTGGTTGTGTCAAATGCCTACGTATACTTCTCAGATGAAACTGTACTCTTGCAGGGAAATGAGAACCAGTGATGTCCACAAAGGACTAACTTCTTTTCACCTGCTGCAGCCTAACACACAATGCCACCAAGACTGTGCTTGTTTGAAGTCAGATCAGAGATGAAGACTATCTGTAGCTGAGGTTAAGGATGACAAAGGGGATGTGATGTGTCGGAAGGTGGAAGCATTATGGGAAACATGAAGTCATTCTGCAATCTTCTCTAACTGAAGGCATGCACTTTCCATTCAAACTATAGACTGTAGCACATCTGGCTTCCTTATTGAAAGCACTTAGATATTTTATAGTGAAGAATGTAATGTTTTCTTGTTTGCTCTCTCTCTTCATCTATTATATTTCTGGGTTTTATTATTGGCCCATTTCATGTTTATCTGCTAATTGTGATAACAAATCATCTGTGTTCTGCCAGATTCAAGGTGTTCTTTACTATATCCTCTCTATTATCAGCTTGAAACAGTTTTATGGAGATGGAAATACATTCAAATTGAATTAGTATTGTAATGTGGCCATACCTGACACATAAGGAGAGGAAGAAAGGAGTCAACTTCCAGAAAGTCTTATTTTTTTGGGAAGTTGAGAAAGATGAAAGATGCTTCAGTTCACTCAGACTAGGAAAACCTTTTTGGCTGATGCCCTGAAGGTGAACAAAACCTTTGAGGACCCACACCAGTGAAGTGATGGCTTTGAGCAAGAAGCCTACTGTCTTTTTTTTAATCATACAAAAATGATTAAAAGCCATTTTAGTCAGTGTATCAATACTACAGTGAACCAAGAACTACATTTAATTGCATTCAATAATGTAAATTCTTAGAAGAATTTGGAGTAGAAGAGATCTCTGTATGTCATCTTGCCCAAAGCAGGAAGGGCTTTGAGGTTGTTCAGGACCTTCCATGGATAAGTTCTGATTGTCTCAGAAATGTAGATAATTAGTTAAGTGTATTATACACAGGTGAATGAGAATTATATAGAAGTTATAATATATATTATATATTAATATATCTATATGTAATACAGACATATATCTATATAATATATAGAAGACTTTGCGGTAATTCTCTTTCAGTGCAAGAGCATAAAATACTCTTAAAATCTTGTCTAACTATAGTAGGTCTCTTGTCAGAAGTACAGCCTACAAAAAAAATCATCTGCCTAGTTAGGATGAATGACTGATAGCCATGATAACAATAGCCTCAAAAAATATAAAACTAGCCAGGTATCAGCTCACTGGAAATGAATAGGTTCTTGTGGTGAGCATAAAATAAAAAGAAGAGATCTATTTAGGCCTTCCAGCCTGAAGGTCTTGATATTAATCCTAATATATTTTACCAAGGGATGCCCTAAAGAACATAAAATTCAAGTTGTGAAAAGCTATAGTTTAGGATAGATACAGCATTTTGTGTGTACGTTGTGATACTTCTTTTTCTGTTAGTAAAATTGTTAAAAATAAGCAAAGAAATTGAGTCAATGCATCTGTTATGTCATGAAAGCCACAGAGGAAATTCAGCATCAGAGATTCAGCTGAAATTGAGTCATTGATATCAATTTAAACTAACACTAGAAATATATATTTTTTTCTAAGCATAGTGACTGAATATATCTAGACAATAAATGCAGGATTAAAAATCTTGGAGATGGGTATCTTCAAAATCCCGTACTACATGAATTTGTAAGCTTTGGAATTCTTAAAAGCTCCCTCAGAAATTTTAGTAGTGATAATATTCAGCAGGTATACTTGGAGAAATAGAAATGGTGGTTAAGTGCCTGAAAAGAATCTTTACATCATACACTGAAATGTGCCCAGTATCTTAAAAATGTCTATTTATATGCACATAATTTGATGTCTATGCATGAGAATCGGATAACAGGTACATTTGTTTTGTGGTACAATATGTCAAGGAAGTGATTTCTTTCTTTCACTAGAGGTTTATACTGCAGTTGTGTCTAATGTATTGTGAGTTAGTATTTAACAATCACTGCTGATACACTTTCATCAATTCTGCTTTAGCTAGTGCAGTCAGCTGCCATTGCTTTTGCTGCTCCCATGGATATTATAAATATCATTGTCTGAATAACCATTGTCTGAAAAATAGTTCTGTTTTAGATATCTAAGTGGTGGAAAAATGTTTTTTTCAGCAGTTACTGAGATTTGTTTCTGCACATAAATAACATTTGGCCTCACAGAATTTCTTCCTTTACTGGTCAAGAAATTGCTTACAAATACAGAAAAATTTAATAAGAACAGAGAAACTTAGATTTTCCTGCCATAGAATAAATGTCCTCTAACATGTTTTCATGTTATTTTAAGACTGCAGAAATTAAAGGTGAAGGTAATTCCTGTTAGTTCATTTTTTATTTTTTCACTCAGGAAAGATTCCTTCCACTTCTGAACTGGACAACAGAGTCAGGTCAGCCTCTCATAGTATTCCTTGCACATACTTACGAAACCAGGGATCCATATGATGCAAAACCAGTGCTCAGAGAACTTGAGGAGGTACAGTATTAGAATTTTGAGCTAAAACAGGAAAATGCCACTGAGCATGATGCATTTCTACAATAATGATACATTCTACAATAATGATATTGTTTATTTTTTTTTCTCCCAGAAAAAGCAGAAAGCTCCACAAACATTTTTTTTTTTAATCTGGTAGAATGTGGAGGCTGACAACACTTCTGCATCAAGATGTTTATTTGCATGCCTTCTTTCAAAACTTCCTCCATGACAAGACCTGAGTTTTTGATTGTTTCCCACTGTACTGTCTGTCCTAGTGATTCTCTCATAGTAATGATTACATGAGCAGGTGCCTTTTGCTCTTCTCAATTGCATCTGCTTAAACCACCTGCCCTTTAGAATACTTTTAAACTAACCATTAGTTTCTGAGATAAATTAATAACTTTTGTAGGGTTACATTTATTGGCTTTTTTAGATATTAGAGAAAGTTGTCCATGTATACAAGGACTTTTTTCCCTTCTAAATATTTTTGGTAGGGTCACAACATAGATCTTGTAGCAATTGCTCTGAATGTTTCACAACAAAGAAATGCAATGGAATCTCAGAAGAAAAGAGGGAACAGAATTTGAAATACAGAACTGATAGTGTTTCATAGTTTTTGGTGAGATTATGAGTAATTAAAAAAACAAACAAAGCAAATCAAAAGTAAAAAAAAAAAAAAAGCCTGAAATCCCATAGGTCAGTCCTTTTGTTATGCAATCGATGGCAAGACACCAAATGTATTCAGTGAAAGGGAATGAAACACAGATTCAGGGAACTTATACGGTTTGACTTGCCCTTGCCTATTAGCTGTGAAAGAATCTTCCTACAGTAATGCCCACGCTGTCTTCCAGGGCTGGTCTTCAGCAATGCAGACTGTAAGCCTCCACAGGGCTTTGGGTACAGTGCCAACAGAGTGCCTGAGTGATTTTTGTTGGGATAATGTGACACCAAACTGGTCAGGGTATGTGATCTTCACCCACCTGAGCAATAGTGCTGTGGATGAGTGATGCATAGGAAGCAGAGTGTGCTTGGCTACTCTCTTGCTCATGATATGCCACAGCTTTTCCAGTTCTTGTGTGCATGCATTTTTTTTCTTTTTCTTTTTGTGTCTGGTCAGCAGAAGGGTTATCAGAAGGTATGCTGGGGGTATCTTTTAACAGAATAGATCAGCAAGTTTTCCAGGCCTGAAACTGGTCATATTTAATCGATGTGGTTTTGTTCTAGGCTGATCCTTCAGATTCGGAAAAATAAGTTATTTACAACATTTGTATACAATCTAGTTGTTTTGTTTGCTTGCTTGTTTTTAAATTGCAGGCAGAGAGGACCACCAGTATTTCGTTCTCACTGGGGATTTTGACAATATCTGTCACAATCTGATCTCTTGTTTAGAAGAATAATGCAATGCAAACACAGGCATGAAAGGGCAAATAGATGTGGTTTGTCCCATACTACAGTAAACTTTACAGGCAAATAACAGTGGCAAAGTGTGAATGAGTGAGTCCAGCAGTTTCTCTCTGAATTCAGTGAGATCTGCTTGGGTGGAGGTTTCAAGCACTTTTTCCTCTTGGTTTATTTAGGTTTTTTTTTTTTTTTTTTTTTCTGATGACGAAGATAGCAGCAACACGCTCAGCTCTCTCTCTGGTGCTGGCGATTTCAGTGCCTATTTCAGGCTCTAGCATGATAGCGTCACTTCTGTATGGTTCCAGGAGAGCTGAAGTAAACACTCCCATGCAGTGCTCTGAGAGCCCACATACAGTGGCTCATGCTCATTCTGCCAACAGAGCTGTTTCATCCCAGACACTATATTGTCTGCATAAATAAACTGCTACAGGAATTCATACACCAGCCATTCGTCAGAGATTTTATTTCTATTTTTGCAGCTTGCAGTAATTATTTCCTCATAGGGAAGCTAATTCTGCTTATATGGACTTTTCTTAAGATGGAGCATCTTTTCTGTACTTTTCTTATGCTTTTTATAAAGGAAGATTATTCATCTCTAAATTTATAGCATCTAGACATGTTCCCACTTGCAGCACCCAGACAGTTATTCACTTAGTTCTTCTCATTAACCATTTTAAAAACCACAACCCACTAATATTTTTTTTTTGAAAATAACAGGATTTTTTTTTTTGTCATCATCCATAGGAACACCTTTTTGATGTAATAGCATTACAAATTGCCATTTTTTTCTTGCTACAATAAAGGTACTTATTTAGATTTGCTTACTCTTATGTAAATTCTACTATTACCATGTTGTTGCCCAGAGAAGCTGTGATGCCCCATCCCTGGAGGCACTCAAGGACAGGTTGGATGGGGCCCTGGGCAGCTGAGCTGGTGGGGGGCAGCCCTGCCCACAGCACGGGATGGGGCTTGGGAGGTTCCTTCCAACCCATTCTGTGATTCTGTGTTTGTGACCAAAATCTAATAAACCGGTGTGAAATGAAGTATGAATTTAATAGGCAGAATTTATAGGTAGGAAGCTTGTAAACTTGAATAGATGCAAATGTTTCTTGTAAAGCTCACATGATAAGGCTTCTTCCTGGATTTTACAGTCAAACTTCATGAGACAAATCAGTGCTGGTACCTTTTTGAAGGTAAGTTGTCTGTCATAGAGAAACTGATGCTGCAAAACTTCCAGGTTTTTTCTTCTGTGAAGAAGGTGAACTTGAAAGCTTTGAACTAAAGTGGGAAAGCGCTGAGGTCTTTTTCTGTGCACTGCAATCTTCTAGCTCACTGTTCTGGTGAAAGGTGTAAAAGATTACTAGCAGTACGTATGGGAATGTAAAGGCTTGTGACAGTGGAAGGAAAAAAGAGAAGGCAGGTTCCTATTGCATCAGTCTGACCAAGTCTAAATCCATCATCTGATTTAACTGCTTGGAATACGTATATGGTGTGTCTGAGGTCCCTATGTTGGCTCAGCCCAGAATAGAGGAGCTGAGGGAAGGCCTCATGGCAGCTGCAGCTCCTCACAGGGAGTGGAGGGGCAGTGTTGAGTTCTACTCTCTGTGACAGCATGGAGCTGAGTCAAGGAGGAGTCGAACATGCAAACTCCTGCGAAGCTGCCCTCAGAGTATGGTGAGAGCTGGGCTGCTCCTTAGGGGAAGAGGATATGGCAGCTGGGGGGTGATTGGAGCACACAGGGCTCACTGAGGATGAGCAGTGACTTCATGAAGAGGAACAGTCCCAAGCAGGCACCTTGACGACTATGGCAGGTTCTGTTAACAGTCTAGTAATCATTGGGCAAAAGCAAGGCAACAGTCAGGTCTAATGTTAGCACAGGAGAGTCAGGATCATGGACAGCCAACAAAGGCCAAGAGGAATCAAGAACAGGTCTACCAATCATAGAATCATTTGAGTTGGAAGGCACCATTAAAGGTCACATAGTTCAACTCCCCTGCAATGAAGAGGGACACCTACAGCTACATCAGAATCATAGAATGGCCTGGTTTAAAAAGGACCACAATGATCATCTAGTTTCAGCCCCCCTGCTGTCTGCAGGGTCTCCAACCACCAGACCAGGCTGCCCAGAGCCACATCCAGCCTCCAGGGATGGGGCATCCACAACCTCCTTGGGCAGCCTGTTCCGGTGCGTCACCACCCTCTGTGTGGAAAAACTTCCTCCTAATATCTAACCTAAACCTCCCCTGTCTCAGTTTAAAACCATCCCCCTTGTCCTATAATGATCCACCCTCATAAACAGCCATTCCTCCTCCTGTTTGTAGGCTCCCTTCAAGTACTGGAATGCCACAGTGAGGTCTCCCTGGAGCCTTCTCTTCTCCAAGCTAAACAAGCCCAGTTTCATCAACCTTTCTTCATAGAGGGGTGCTCCAGCCCTCTGGTCATCTTAGTGGTCCTCTGAATCCATTCTAAGAGCTCCATGGTCTTTTTGTACTGGGGGCCCCAGGCCTGGACACAGAATGTCTCCAGGGATGGGGGATCCACTACCTCTCTATGCAACCTCTGACAGTGCTTCATTACTCATTGAAATAAACATTTTTTTTTACATCCAGTCTAAATTTCCACTCTTTTAGTTTGGAACCATTTTCTATTGTCCTATCCTATATGTGGTCTATTAGATCATATATTTTTGGACATGCTTGGGATCACTTTTTGCTGAAAATGCTGATCACCTGTTTCTTAGCTGTGAGGTTGTCTCTTACACTGAATTCCTGCTTTGCCAGATTCATTCTTCAGGTCAACGCACTTCAGTTGCCATAGTTAAATCTCATGATTTTTTTAAGCCTGTCTCCTGATTTTTGGAGTCTGACTCATGATTTCTGTGCAAAACTTCAGCTTGGCAAATGCTGAAAGCAGTGGGAGTATTTGCAGCTTGAAGGCACTGTTTAGTGAGAGGAAGGGTGGAGGAATCTGCCCCTCAGCAATTAGTAGAACTGCTTTCTACGAAAGGACGTGTCATTTGGTAGGTTATTTTAGCATGCTGTACAGATGCAGATTATTTTTTAGAATTTTTAATTGGTGATACCATAGCAACTTTATACAATAAAAAACAGTCCAGGCCAGATTGTGCCTGACAACCAACTGCCTGTTTGGGGGTGGCATAAAGCTGTACTGACCCAGGAGGACTTTGAGAGGCTCTGGATGCTCTGAGTCTCGATGTGCAAGGTACTTGATAGTCACACAGGTACAAGTGTCATACGAGTGCAAGTTCACTGTCCCACAGCTTGAGGGGACAGGCCTAATGCCTTGCTTCCCCTACTGACCTTCTGCATCTTCTAGGATTGTTTAGGACACTGCAGCTAAGGTTCTAAGATGCCAGAAAATGATTACGATTTCAGTGTTGTGTTAGGTTTTTTGCCCTCTGTGCAACAGTGATGGGAGAATGCCTGAAGAAGCAGCGCACAGTAGAATACGTGTAACAGATTGCTTTGTTTCTAGGCCTACTAATGCTGCAGCACTCTGTTTTCTGTTCAGTGATCTGTGAGAACTAGTGTTTTTTTCTTTCTCTCTATCCATCTTGAGCACTGGCTTCCCTTTGGAGGACAAAAAAAAACAGATGGGATGTGTTCAGTTCTGGCCTAATTGCCCTTGGTATCAGTCTGGCAATGAAAGACATTCTTCAACAACAGAGGTCCTGTGGTGTTCTCTTCTTAGCTTGAGAATTGTTTTCCATTTTTGAAAATCCCTTCGTGTGCAGGTAAAAGATAGAGAAGTGTCCAGATAATGAAGAGATAAGGAAGCCATGTTCAATTCTGTGATTTCATGCGTGAAGATTCTGCCTTTCTGTTACATTTAAAACTGATGTTTATGCGTGACTATGAGATGTTTTGCAGTCATTGACAGAAATGAAAATGGGCAGTACTTGACTCGCCGAATAGGCTAGGGACCACCATGCATAGAATAAATAGCTGAGGTAGACTGCGTGGATTTAAGGGTGAGGCAATATGTGAGAGTGGAGGAGTTTGGCTAAAAGATGGAGAATAGATGGATTGTGATGGTGTTGTGTTTCCCAGACCACCTAGAGAAGATGAAGAGGGATAGTAACTTTTGGACTCATTGAGAAACATATATATATATTTTTACACATAATTCTGTACATATATATGTATATATATATATAGTTTCAGGAGTGTTGAGGAGAGACTTTTAGAAGAAAGTAATATGCGACTGTGATATGTAGTTAGGAGAGGCTCAAGGTAATGTTGTGTGTGTATTGTTTTTGTGGACACATTACAGCAAGGACAGTCTTTTAGTGAGTTTAGGCTTTTCTCAGAGACAAAATTCAATGTTAATTGCACCTCGTGTGGTAAGTGATGATTCTAGGAAAGAAACATAATTATTAGATAATGATTTTACAAACTGTGCTGAGTTTGAATGGAAAAACTAAGACTGACGCAGCTAGCTGAGACAGGGAAGTATCTGACACGCAAATTTTCCCTTTCTGCATGAAACTAGAAAGGGAGGCACAGAAAGAAGGTAGTTGCCTTGATAATATTAGACTTTCTTCTGTGAGGGGCCCAGTACTACTTTGTTATACACAAACCGGTATGTGGGAAAGGAGCGTGGAGGAAGAGAAAGTCCAGCTCTTGAGAACTGTCTGCCTCATTCCCAATGTAGATTCATGAAAAAGCTATAGAGAACATCATGGTGCTAAGTACTCATGTTCAAACATTTTCCCACCCTTGTGCGTAGCCTTATGTCCCTGGTGATTCCCTAGAGATGTACACGAATCAGCTTTGAAAACACAGCGTAAGAGGAATGTTGCTGAATATCTTTTTATTCAAACTACTTCCCATGGGATTTTCAATGGCAGAAGGCCACCCGACTGTGGGAAATTAAGCATTCTTTAAGATATGAGCACAGTTTATCATGAGCTAATGCTAACACAGTAGAAAAACACCTGAAAATATCCCTAGGGGTCTTTTGATAACATTTTTAACGGACTTTTCTTTGAAGATGGAAGAATATGCTGTGTCTGTGCATATGCTATGATTCACCTACAAGAATTTAGCGTTACTTACCAATTTAAACTTAAAGAAATTGAGGAAAGACTAGTTGGATATATATTTATTAGTTTCTGTTGACTGTGAAAACAAAGTTCTGCATTTTGCATAGTGGTCTATGAGTCATAGAAGTGCTTATTTTTTAATTAAGGTGATATTAAATACTGATGCCCCTTCTGCCAATGTGGTTGATGTCATTTCAGTTAACTTCAGTTCCATTACTGATGGAGTGTTACATTTTAAAGATATGGTGGAGGTCACTGATTTTTCAGAATGCGCTCATAATAATAAGCTTTTTTCTCTCAACACCAAATTGCTTTTAATGAGAAGCTGCACACGAAATACCTATAATGAAGACTAAGCTTATGTATCTTCTGGGTAACGCTATGCTCTCCAAAAGCCTTATCTGCCTTATTAAATTGTAGATAACTGTTCCCCTTTCCAAGTAATGTTAGTTTCGTCAAAAACTTCATATGTGAAAATGACAACAAATTCTCATTTTCTTAAGGAAAGATATTACTTAACCTTTCGTAAACATTAATTAAACAACTCAGCTTACGTCAGTACCAAGATTTGTTTCAGCAGTGCAACTTGTTATTGTAAGATTAGTTCTGACACATTCCTTCGAGCACAGCAAGCAGTGGGATCCTGTGCAGTACTGGGAAGAAGTCATCTCTCTGGAGACTGCCACTAGGTATCCAATAGGAAGGAAGACTGCTTTCTTTAGTGAGATTAAAAACTCTCTGCTGTCATACGCCCTAACTGAATCATCTCAAACTGTAAGTCTCACCATGCAGAAGGAACGAACATATCACTCAGCGCCCAATCTTTCCTCTACAACACTGTTAGGCCATTTGTATCAAAACATCTACAAATCTACGTACATAACATCTATATCTGCATCTGGTGTGTGGCCATGAGGCTGGCTTAAGGATCCTTCTCCAATCTGGTCATGGATCATTCACAGCTGCAATAATTGGCAATGATTTCTTGACTGCAAGAACATCAAATGAGCTTTGTTCCTTTGAGCAATTACTTGCTGTGATAGAGATGCAAGGGTGAGAAATGACCTTATTCTGTTCAGCTGGCACGTACGTGGCTGCTTCAAGGGCATTCACTGGGCTCTGCTTACAGGGGTGCTGGTAGTGGTGTCAATGTCTAAATGTGACCATTTGAGTTAGCTATCATTATTTCAATGCCCAACAGAAAATTAAGTAGAAGAGATGAGCAGAAGAGATAAAAATACACTTCAAATGTAGTGTATTACATGTAGTTTCAGCAAACAAAATGAGAATGCAGGAAGTAATGCCACCTCATTCACTTTGCAGAATTCTTTTCATAGTTGTTGTCCAATATGGTCATTTTTAACAACATGCGACGCTGGTATTTTAAGAGCTTTGTAAAATGTGAGATCTTAGGAAAGGTCATCCTCAAAAGAATTGTTTTAATTGTTCAAGTTTCACAGGATTTCTGTTACAGTGCCTTTTGGATGCTATTGGATTTTACTGAGAGTCCTTGTGAAGTTGTAGACTATGATGCCAGGACTATATGGATAGATATGAACTGCTTAGTGCAGTACAGAGACTGCTTGCACAGCTGTGCACTGCAAGCCACTAATTTACCATATTTCACAACATGTTGAAACCCAGATTTTCAAATTGTATAAGCACTTGAGTGTCCAGTTGGCATATGCAGTAGCTGTGAGTGTGAGCAATTGTAATAGAATGTAAATGTAAGGGAAGGAATACAAACCTAATGGATCATTTGTCTGTATGCCTAAAGTGATTCAATTGAGTAGGGAGCTCACACTAAACAGGGTTTTAATCATATTGCAGTTCTGAAAGCAAGTCTGGCCTGAAGACTTGAATCCTCACAAGAACTGAGGAATACACTGACATTACTGCCTATACTACATATTGTTCTCTTTTTTTGTTTGTTTGTTTTTTTCTGTTTGCATCAGACTATAACATGTTAGGTAGTATCTTTAGATCATATAATTTTGAGACAAGTGCTACTTGGAAGTGCGTGCATCAAAGCAGATACTGTTCTTGGTCATTTTTTCTGAATTCATGTTGGAAAAAGCAAAGAGCATGAATTGCTGAGATGTATGTCTTCCAGGCGTATGTGATGCTGTTTTGAGCACACTAGTAAATGGAAAAGAGATACAAACATGAGAATTAACAGAACTAATTTTACTTTCTTTTTCCATCTCATACTGCACATAAATGGGAGGTCAAAGCATCTCTAGAGAAAACAAAGGTATGAAGCGTGTTGGTACTTTCTGGATTT